GTTGTGTTTTGTGGGTAAGGTGCAACACTGAGAGATAATATGCCACAATCTGCATTTCAAAATAGCTCAAAGCTGGAATTTGTATCCAGCTTAACAATGATATACTGGCATAACTAATACATTTCTCATACTACACTGCTTATCTGCTTTATAAATAATCAAGCTATTTTCTGTGAGGTTTAAATTATACTTTTGCATATGATCTTTCGTCTTCTCAGCATATCTTACGGCCTCTGCATGTCGATCCTGTGCTTCTTGCAACTAGAATAAAGAAAAAGTAATAATTTTAACTACTGGCAATCTAGTAGAACACCATCACCTGTTCTTGTAACTACATTTTTTTTTTACTTGAGAGAGAGAGAGAGAGAGAGACAGACCGCGTGCACAAGTGGGGAAGAGAGGCAGAGGGAGAGACAGAGAAAATCGTAAGCAGGCTGCAAGCTCAGGGAGAAGCCTGATGAGGGGCTCGGTCTCATGACGGGTCTCATGATGTGGGGTTTGGGATCATGACCTGAGTGGAAATTAAGAGTCAGGACGCTCAACCAACTAAGCCGCCCAAGTGCCCCTGTAACTAAAATCTTCGTGGACCCAGCCACACTCTCCTCTACATGCTTACTGATGGCTACTTTTAGGTCATAACAGCAGAGCTGAGCTGCTACAACAGACTATGGCCTACGAAGCCGAAAATGTTTAAATACTCTTACAGAATAGCTTACCAACCTTACTCTACTACAAAAACATAATATTTTTAATGTTTTTAAATTATATATGATCAGATAAACATACAAATTTATCTAATGGTCAAACGGAGGAAATATAGGGAATTACCTTATGGTAAACATTTCTGTTTTCATACTCCAAGCACCGCATCAACTATGATTTCAAATATTCACATAGGTGAATGACATTGCTATTCTAGTGATTATATAACTTAACATGTTGTTTTCAATGGCAACAAGATATTTCATGGAATAGTTTGAGAAGCAGTATCTTAGTAGGAGCCAAAATGCCTGGGTCTGAATTCCCAATTCTGCTGGTTATTACCTATATGACCTTGAGCAAATTACTTAAAACTTCTGTGTCTCAGTTTCTGCATCTATAAAATGAAGATAATAGCATCTACTGGGGCGCCTGGGTGGCTCAGTCAGTTCAGCATCTGACTTCGACTCAGGTCATGATCTCGCAGTTTGTGAGTTTGAGCCCCGCATCAGGTTCTGTGCTCACAGCTCAGAGCCTGGATCCTGCTTCAGATTCTGTGTCTCCTCCTCTCTCTGCCCTCCCCATGCCCATGCTGTCTCTGTTTCTCAATAATGAATAAACGTTAAAAATAATAAGAAGAATAATAGCATCTACTGGGGCATCTGGGTGGCTAAGTCAGTTAAGCATCCAATTCTTGCTTCCAGCTCAGGTCATGATCTCATGGTTCATGAAACTGAGCCCTACGTTGGCTCTGCACTGACAGCATGGACCCTGCTTGGGATTCTCTCTCTCCTCTCTCTGTCCCTCCCCTGTTAACATGCATGCACACACTCTCTCTTGCTCTTTCTCTCTCAAAATAAATAAACTTTAAAAAAAAAATTTTAAACAAAGAAAAAAAAGTGTCTCAATTCCTGTGAGGAAGGATACAAAAGCCTCAACTTTCCTAAGAGTAAATATTATAAGAAAAAATATATAACACAAATAGTAGAATAAAAGAGTTTAAGAAATAAATGCATTGTAAAGATACTAAAATCATAATGAATTAATTATAATGAAAATACAAAAGGAAGTGGTCTATGGAAATTAGTATCCTAAAACACTTTATATTATTTAACCAGCTATAAGTTAGCTGTTGACAGATTACATTTAATACATGCCTGACTTCTGACTTGACCTAATTTCTTCTTTAGATCCCGTGTCTCATCTTCTAAACTAAGACGATAACGTGATGTAACCTCCAGGGAAGCCTCTGACATAGACTGTTTCTTCAGAGTATCAGCCAGTTCTTGTTGAAGTTGTCTCATAACTACCTAATAAGACATTTCTGTTACTGATTTTATAAATCATCTTATAATTAAATTATGTTAATAAT